GTATATTCAGGCTAAAGGATAGGAATGGATTCCATATCACAATTCATATCCCTGGACATTTTCCCGCTGGTCTCATAACATTTTTTCTTCATAAAACAAAATATATGGACCTAAGTATTTTGAAGTAAAATTCAATACGTTTATTTTATTGAAATCGTTTTTTGCATATCTAATTTTTATACAATATAATATTACCGACAAAAATCGACGTATACTTAACGTCAATCATCATACGTTTAATAAAATTAAGCATACGCCATAAAGCAGAGGCTATTATTAAAACAATAAATAAATTTACAAATAAATAAATGGTTAAAAAATATAATAAATAAATAAATGAAAATATATTACCGAATATGGAATTTTTGCAATAGGAGATATGTTTATATAGCAAAATTGATACACTGATCTGGGGATTTTTTAATACAAATATTCTCCATTATAGGTTAGAAAAAGTTTTTTTTTTTCAAAGAGAAAAGTCTGGTCTTTGGGTTGAGACAATTTCTTTCTTAAAGAAAAAATAGTGTTAAAAATCCACTCCTATTTGTCCGATAGTCTACGAAGAAATAATCTTTAAAAATTCACGACTATAGTTTACGAACAATTGAAGACGGTCAGAATTTTTTTATTCGAAAGTAAACAAATATACACAGGCAGTGTCTAGGAGAAAAAAATCCATCCCTAACTTTCTGGGTCTAAAAAAATTTAAACATCTTCGTTTTTCTGGGTCTCAGAACAAATATTTTTTTAATAACTGCAGGTATTTTTAGCCCTAGGAATATATGTAAATTATATTGCAGCCCTTTAGGATTATATATATATATATATATATATCCTCGTCTTGTAGGCAGAAGAAGACACATTTTTCCTGGGCATAAAAAATATTATTTAAAGAAATCCTCGCCTCTCAGGCCCTCGACAAATAATATATATATATATATATATATATATTTTAAGACCATGCCTGGGACTCTGAAGGATTTTTTTAAAACCGGAAAGGACTGTGATGCCTGGGTTTGAAGAAGTTTTTTCAAAGAGAAAAGTCTGGTCTTTGGGTTGAGACAATTTCTTTCTTAAAGAAAAAACAGTGTTAAAAATCCACACCTATTTGTCCGATAGTCTACGAAGAAATAATCTTTAAAAAGTCACGACTATTTGTCTGATAGTCTACGAACAATTGAAGACGGTCAGAACTTTTTTCTTATGCTTTCTGTGCTGAGAATTGGCAATATTTTTTTTCTTAAAAAAATTAATAAATTCTATAATTCGATATTTATTCCTGAAGTAAAAATTTCTCCATTCTATTCTTACGTAGAGAGTTTTTTCTAAAGGGACGGTCTATAATCCAATCAACAAATCTTAATTTTTTTAGGCTTGAATAAAATATTTTCCACACACGAAAAATTAGGCTTAGTATGAAAATTATTTATTCGAAAGTAAACAAATATACACAGACAGTGTCTAGGAGAAAAAAATCAATTCCCAAATTTCTGGGTCTCAACAAAAATTGAAACATCTTCGTTTTTCTGGGCCTCAGAACAAATATTCCATGTCTTTTTAGTTCCAGGTCTTTTTAGCCCTAGGAATATATGTAAATTATATTCCAGCCCTTTAGGTTTATAAATATATTTTAAATCTTCGTTTTGTAGTCATAAGAAGACACATTTTTCCTGGGCATAAAAAATAATTTTTAAAGAAATCATCGCCTCTCGACAAATAATATATTTTTTAAGTTCATGCCTTGCTGGGACTCTGAAGGATATTTGTAAAACCTCAAAGGACTGTGATGCCAAAGAAAAATGTAAAAACAATATTAGCTGAACTTTGAAAAAATAGTACGGGGTCAAATATTTTTTGGAGAAGAAATATATCTTTCAATTTTTGTTATAGAAAAACTCTAGTATAGTTAGAAGAAAATAGTGAATTGATTGTAGAATTTGTGCCTACTACAGACTAGAGGTACATAGAGCTACTCATTACTACATAAATCCTAAGCAAATTTCGCAATATTTAATTGTTGCTTTGTTGTTTTTGTTATTATTCGATTTAGGTAGGAGTATAAGTAAGTACAAGAATGTCGTTATCATATATAAATTTGTTGGTCAAACCAAAAAAAGAAACAAAAACAATATAATAACAAATAGTAGTCCATAAATTAAGCCATAAAACATTCCACGACCAAAGAAAAAAAACTATTTACAGTCATACAAATCGTTACTAATGAGCAATAGAGTGATTTAACGAGAGGGAGGGGAAGAGGAGAGAGTAGAGGAGAAGAGAGGCAGGCAGTAACGAGAAGTGGAGGTGGAACATCAAGTGGCCAGAGGGAACCAAAACAAGTACATTAATTAATTTGCCACCAATTGTTGCGAAATTAAAAGCAAACACAGCAAATAATTGCCATTAGAAAGCAACAACAACAACAAGAAAAAACACAACATCAACTACAACAATAAAAGAAATAACAAATGAAACAAAAAATACAGTCGTAGTAATAATGGGCCAGCAGAGTTCAGAAAATGAAAAAAAAAAAAACACTGAAAACATGGCTGAATAGTGGGAGCACGAAGATTTATTTGTTCTTGTCGATACTGGAAATGCATCTGTTTTGTTTAAAGATTTTGCCAGTGTGTTTGTGTGTTTTTGGAAACATCAAGCACACCTACACAATTACACGTGCTGTAGTTGTTGGTGTGTCTATGTTGTACAAAACCTTGAGAGATTAACATCAGCTGTAATAACAGAGAACAACAAAAAACTAGAAAACAAAAGCAACAACAACAAAAAAAGACGAAAAATAACACAGAAAGAAAGCAACAGCAATAACTGTTAGTAAACTAGTAAACACACAAAAATTGCCCAAAATGTGTGTGAGTGTGTTTGTGTGTGTGTTCGTTTGTATAATTTTCAATACACACAAGCCTAGCCACATAGAGAAAATACAATGGAAACTGGACAAAACAATGACGTTACAAATGGCATATGTGACAGTAGATGTGTGTGCTTGTGTGTTTATATATACATATGTCGAAATGTCATTCACTTTGTACAGCAATTTCTCTCCCTCCCCACCCCAATATTCATATAGCAAACATGTCAGGTATGGAATTTAAATGAACGCAATATTCGTTTTATTGTTGTTGTTTTTTCGTCAACAATTGTTGATTTTATTGACAATGTTGCTTCTGCAGATAAAAAAATGCATTTGAATCTGCAATAAACCTAATGGACATAGCAAAAAATTTTAAACTACGTTCTAAAGGCTGTCCATAACAAAAATCGGAAAAAATATTTTATATTTAATAAAATCGACGTCGTTTGTTAAACGTTAAAAAATTTAAAAATCTATGTAAAATGGTCGTTAAAAAACAAATTTTTAAAAAGTCTACGCCTGGTAAAAAAATGTTTATTTTTTTAAATCTACGGCTGGTAAAGTCCAAATCTGAACCGATTTTCACGAAACTAATCTAATTCAGTACTTTATGACAAATTTCGTGCAAATCGAAAGTTATATAGGGTCTATGGTACACCATTTACATAAAATCGGAAGAAAATATATATGAGATCTATATCAAAATTGAACCGATTTTCATGAAACTTAACACACATCATTCTAGAACTAATTCAGTACGCTATGCCAAATTTCGTGGAAATCGAAAGATATATAGGGACTTTGGTGCACCATTTACATTAAATCGGACGAAAAAATATATGGGAGCTATATCTGTATCTGAACCAATTTTCACGAAACTTAGCACACATCATTCTGGACCTGATTCAGTACTCTATGCCAAATTTCGTGAAAATCGAAAGATATATAGGGACTTTTGTTCACCATTTACCTTAAATCGGACGAAAATATATATGGGAGCTATATCTAAATCTGAACCGATTATCACGAAACTTAGCACACATCATTCTGGACCTGATTCAGTACTCTATGCCAAATATCGTGAAAATGGAAAGTTATATAGGGACCGTTTACATTAAATCGGTTAAATATATATATGGGAGCTATATCTAAATCTGAACCGATTTGTCACCAATTTCACACATTCATTCTAGACTTAATTCAGTGACCTATGCCAAATTTCATTCAATTTGGATAGATATATAGGGACTTTGTTTGCTTACATTAACATGGACAGATGTGGGAGACAGACTGGATTTGTCATTTGCACACAATCGAATTCAGCCAAATGTCGTGCAAAGTGATTATATGGTTCACCATTTACCTCAAAAGGAACCATGTATATGTCTATCTCGTTTCCTTTTGCCTGTATACAAACCTGTACACACAGTGTGGACCTGATTCAGTACTCTATGCCAAATATCGTGAAAATGGAAAGTTATATAGGGACTTTGGTACACCATTTACATAGAATCGGACGAAAATATATATGAGAGCTATATCTAAGTCTGAATCGATTTTTCCCAATTTCAATAGGGTTCATCCTTGGGCCGAATAAGTGACCTATGCCAAATTTCATTCAATTATAATAAATGCGACCTGTACTTTGTTTACAATTTAACATGGAAAAAAAACCATGCATAAATCGAATCTGAAAGTGATTCTATGCATATTCTCAAAAGGAACCATGTGTCTATCTCGTTTCCTTTTGCCTGTTACAAACACATGCACAAAGACATAATACCCTGTACCACAGTGTGGTGAAGGGTATAAGTAGGTTGAAAAAATTTACACTTTTTGAAGGCCCAAAAGTGTGGTGTAGGGTATAAAATCTACGCTTTGTTAAACTCTAGAAAAATGTTTTTTTATTCTACTCCTTCTGAGGACCACCAAATACATTTTTTGAAAAATGTATTTTTGGTTCTAAAAATTTGGACTCTTTTTGGGCCCTAGATAGCAATTTTCCCCAAGATATTTCCCATCCAAGACAGACTATTTTTAACTCCCTTTGTGTCCTTTTAATATTTCCTTATATTTTCCCAACTAATGTCTTTCATTAATAAGTTGTTCTTTTCAACTTTGTTTTCAGAAATCCGCCTACTCTCTCGGAACAGCAACAACAACCACAACAGCAACTAGCGAAACAAAGTACAAAAGCATAATAAAATACTTTACCTGAGAAAAAGAAACCTGCAGAAAAACAAAACAATAATAACAACAAAATAAAACAAAACCACAGAAAATTATCAAGTAGCAAAAGGAAAAAATTCTATTCAATTCAAACAACAACACAAATTGTGAGAAAATAAGCAATATATGTGTGTGTATGTGTGTCTACGTACGTATTTATGTGTTAGTGTATGTGAGTGAGTGTGTGTAAGTGTTCAGAGTGCATAAATAAAAATTTAGTTTGAAACCCAAAGTTGAATAAATAATAAATAAATTGGAAGCAGAAGTAGCAGCAGCAGAGGCCGCAGCAGCGACAACAACAACGCTATCAAAGGTGGGTATTTACAACCACAAAAAAAAAAAAAAATAGAAATAAATATAAAATCAGAAAATAAATATCCCTGGATAGTTTATTAAATATTTTTAAATAAATAAATAAATCCGAACAAAAAATTAAACCACAAGAAATGAAAACCAAATAAACAAGTTCCGCAACAGTCGAATATCCAACAGTTTGTAGCAGTAGTTAAGATGATAAATTGAGTGTTTTTGAAGTGGAATATGTTTTCATTAATCGTATAATAAATTACAAAAACAACAATAAAAAAGTATTTCACTAGCATGTGGAAAAAATTGCCAAATGTAAAATTATTTGTGGGAGGAAATTAAAATAATTATTATTTTGGGAATGATTCGGAATATTGAAGAAAATTTAGCAAATAAAATAATATTGAAAGAATGCGGGGGCGTATGATGAATATTTATGTAAATTACGTATTGGTGATAATTTGGAAGATAATACGTATACGTCATGTGGGACTTTATAGAAGTTATTCAAAAATAAACCAGTAACGGAAGTAGTAAAGTCGAACTGGGCCGACTATATGATACCATTCACCACTTTGGCTATATTCTACATATGTATCCTAACAGACATAGCGTTTTTTGTTATATATCTACATCTGAACCGATTTCAGGGAAACTTGCTAGAGACTAATTTTTATTACTTCAGTACGTTGTGTCAATCGGCCTAGCTATGGATCTTTTCACGAAGCTTAGCAACATCATTCTAGACTTAATTCCGTACCCTATACCAAAATTTGTGCAAATCGAATGATTTTCAGAGACTTTGGTGCACCAATAACCTAAAATCGGATGAAAATATATATGGGAGCTATATCTAAATCTGAACCGATTTTCACGAAACTTTGCACACATCATTCTATACTTAATTCATTACGCTATGCCAAAATTCGTGCAAATGAAAAGATTTCCAGGGACTTTGGTGCAAAAATTACGTAAAATCGGATGAAAATATATATGGCAGCTATATGTAAATCTGAACCGATTTTCATGAAACTTAACACACATCATTCTAGACCTTATTCATTACGCTATGCCAAAATTCGTGCAAATCGAAAGATATATAGGGACTTCGGTGCACCATTTACCTTAAATCGGACGAAGATATATATGGGAGCTATATCTAAATCTAAATCGATTTTCACGAAACTTAACACACATCATTCTAGAACTTATTCATTACGCTGTGCCAAATTTCGTGCAAATCGAAAGATGCATAGGGACTTTGGAACACCATTTACCTTAAATCGGACGAAAATATATATGGGAGCTGTATCTAAATCTCAACCGATTTTCACGAAACTTAACACACATCATTCTAGACCTTATTCATTAAGCTGTGCCAAATTTCGTGCAAATCGAAAGATATATAGGGACTTTGGTATACCATTTACCTTAAATCGGACGAAAATATATACGGGAGCTATATCTAAATCTGAACCGATTTTTCCCAATTTCAATAGGGTTCGTCCTTGGGCCAAACAAATGCGTTGTGCCAAATTTCATCCAATTCGGATCATAAACGCGATCTGTACTTTATTTACAATTTAACATAGACAGACGGACGGACGGACGGACATGCGTAAATCGACTCAGAAAGTGATTCTATGCATATTGTCAAAAAGAACCATGTGTCTATCTCGTTTCCTTTTGCCTGTTACAAACACATGCACAAAGTCATAATACCCTGTACCACAGTGTGGTGAAGGGTATAAAAAACATGTTTTTCTAGAGACGTGGATTTTTTAAAATATTTTTTTTTCTAGGACCGATTTTTTTTAAAGATCCACATTAGCTTGAATTTTGTTTCCATATATTTGCCTTTTTATGTGGCAAATGCAGATGCATATTCAAATAAACAAAAAAGACTAATTATTTTAAGATGTTTGCCGTTTAATATTTTTTATGGGCCTTAGGCTTTTGAAGATGTCAATGTACGTGCCTTTTAATGAAGTTATGGCACATGGAGTTATAAAATGTGCTGCCTTTCCTTTTCGTTTTTTATTACCCACAAGCATTTCTGCTGGAGTTATATTCCAAAAAACAAAATTGTATTTTATTTCCATATTCAATTTTCTTTAAAAGCTTAAGGCTGTATTTTTTTATTTTCTGTTATTTTGCTTATAAAAACAATAAGTCTTCGGCACAATAACAAAAAGGAAAATATAATAACAACAACAACAAAAGCCACTAACACACTCTTTACTTTTTGTGCACTGTCAGCAGGCTGGCAGACAGAAGATATACAGCCAACCAAACAAAAATTGAGTTTTCTTTTAATTTTTTTTCCACAGCTTCTGTGAAAAGATGTAAACATACATGGCTTTTGCAACTGACACACGCACGCACACATGTAGAAAAAAATACCCACACACTCCCCCTCTCTTTTTCTGTGAGTTGTACTACACCTATGATGTAGTCAAGTGAAGCAAAAAAAAAAGAAAATATTCGGAAAATTGTATATTGGAAGAAAATTGTAAAATAAACATTGGCATTATACAAATCGATCGTTCGCTTCAGTTCAGTTTGCCTGAAATCAATTTAAACGAGTGGAAACGAACAAAATTGAAAACTTGTCTGCACTCGATTATGAACTGGAAATTGTACACATGGATGGATGGAGGCGATGTCTGCCTGTGTGTGTGTGTCTGTGTGCAGTTCAGTTCATTGATATACCACAAATGATTTTTGTCATAACATTTGAATAAGTCGAAAGCATTTTCTTAATTTGAATAAGTTAATAATTTTATTGGAAAATATTAAGAATGGAATGGATGTAAATAAAAATCATAACGAAATCCAAACTGCCTTCGAAAAAAAAGAAACAAGCATACGTATACGTAATATTATGCACAATTATATGGATTTATGTTAATCATACGCCTATGATGCTGAAACTTATTTGTATGCAGAGGTATTTATTGCGTCTAGACAGACAGACATCTTATGATTTCCATTCCAAGAAAATCATAACAAAACAAATGGGAAAATGAAATGAAATACATCTATGTCATAATACAAAATTGTGTTGATATTGTTCTGGGACTGCCTTGCATTTGAAAGGCCAAGGACTAATAAATTAAGCAAAGAATCCAAAGGGGACAATTTTACAAAAAATAACGATTTTGGTGAAATGTTTCTTATGGCCGAAATTAAATTTCATGCAAGAATTTTATTCAAATGATTTATTTTTAAATCTACATAGGCGTGGATTTTTTTTCATATGCGGTAGAGCAAGGAGTAGATTTAATAAAACAATATTTTTCCTAGCTACGACAATGCGCAGATTTTTTAAAAAATATTTTTCTAGACAACATTTATCCTCACCAGAACAAGGCGTAGATATAAACCAGTGAGCGGAGCAGTATAGTCGGACGGGGCCGACCATACGATACCCTACACAACTACCACGGAACTCAAATTTTCTGCGGATTTTTATTCCGAGCCTGGGCAATATTTAGTGATATTTGCACCCTCTTGCCCGATTAGAGATAAACAGCACCTCTTCCTCACACATACATATTTTCCGAATATTACGAGTATTCAGTACAGCTATTGTCCAGATTTTCTTTCACCGTGGGTTGTATTGTGATGTTCGGCGTTGTCCTTGACCATAACTGGAACCTCATGGAACATTTCAAAGCGATCAGCGCTATAGTTCCGCTCTCTAGAGTGATAATGGGTTATTAAATAATATACGAATACGGAGATACCTGTAAATATTTAGGTGTAACTCCAACATCCGGGAACATACAACAACATAATTGGTATTAATTTAAAGGTCAACCACTCCTCTATGATAAAATATCAACTTCTCGGATCTATGTCCTTCAGGAGTAAATATATACGCTATAGAATACAAATTTTGTCATTTTTCACACAAAAGTCAGGGTCCATTTGACCCGCTAAATATTGACCTATCTTTATCAAAACAGGCATGCTTATTCTTTGGCCCGATCCCCTTCTCCATGCAAAATTTCACGATGTTCGGGCCATTATTGCGGCCTCTGGAGCGACCAGAAAAACCGACAAAAATTTAGTATTTGGTCCATTTCATCCCCTAAATATTAACCGATCTTTCCCAAAAACAATAGGGGTCTTCATTGGCCAGAACCCATCCTACATGCAAAATTTCGTGAAGATTGGTTCATAACTGTGGCCTGTATCGTGTTTACAAATTATAATGGACAGACGGACGGACGGACGGACGGACACACATGTCTAGATCGACTCAGCTAGTCGAGATATGACGATCGGTATACTTAAAGGTGGGTCTAGGACCAATATTTCGCGGCGTTACAAACTTTTGGGGCTGCACAAAGCTATAATACCCTGACAACATAGTTGTGTAGGGTATAAAAAATACTAAACACAACAGAGCGAAGATTTTTTAAAAAAATATTTTTTCCAAACAGAACAAGACGTAGATTAAAAAAAAAAAATTAATTTTCATAGCCAAAAAGAACTGACCCAGAAAGAACTGGATATTTGAATAAATATTTTTCCCCGAGTCCTGATTTTCTATTTGTATACCCTTCACCACACTGTGGTACAGGGTATTATGTCTTTGTGCATATGTTTGTAACAGGCAAAAATAATCGTGATAGATCCATGGTTCCTTTTATGAATA